TTAATTGTTTGCTATTAACATTATAGAAATTAGAAAATATTAGAAAAAGGCCTGGGTAAGGGAATCTTGTTCAACTAAATGTTCAGATTAGTTGAATTAAGTTATATATTAAGGTGTAACACATTATAAAGCAGCTATCATCAAAATAGGATGGCGTTGTAATAGAAATAGACAAATAGATTAGTGAACCTAAAGAATCCAGAAATCATCTAACCATATATGAGAGCCTAAAACATTTTTTAAATGTTTAAGTGGGACATTTAAATGCAGGGAAAGCTGGTTTACTTAACAATGGTGGAGGCATAATTGGCTGTTCATCTGGTGTAGGAATAAATAGGCCATATTCATGCAACCAGCAGAAATAAATTTCAGACAGAATAAATTTATAAAAGCTAGAGAGAGAGAAGAAAATGAATTAGAAAATATATTTTTAAGGACGCCTGGATGGCTCACTCAGTTGAGCATCTGACCTCAACTCAGGTCACGATCTTGCAGGTCACGCATTCAAGCCCCACTTCAGGTTCTGTGCTAATCTCTCGGAGCCTGGAGCCTGCTTTGGATTCTGTGTCCCCCTCTCTGTCCGTCCCTCCCCCCCCCCCCCCCCCCGCTTCCCCTTTACATACATTTCTGCAAGCAGCAAGCTTTGGCTTTCTTCCCTTCAAAATAAACTTTTTTTTAATTAAAGAAAATATATTCCAATAATCTCTAGGACAAGGAGATCTTTGAAAGCAATGCAAGAAACCCAGGAGCCTTTTTGTATCTGTATGAGATAATACATGTTCGTTAACTTTGTGATAATTTCACAATATATGTAAGTCAGATCATTATGCTGTACAACTTGTACAGTGTTATATGTCAGTTATATCTCATTAAAACTAGAAAGATAAAAAAAAAAAAGCCAGAAGCCATGAAACAGTACAGATGTAACTTTGTAAAAATTAACAATTTCTGTAAAAAAAAAGTCTAACAAAAGATACCCTGAAGATTCTGGCATCAAAAGGACAAACTAGGAGAAAATATTTGCCTCATTCAAAAGACAAAGTTACTACTCCTTATACGCAGGAATTCAAGAAAGGTGAATAGCAGTAGAAAAATGGGCAAAGAATAAATATAAAAATCTCAGAAAAAAGTTCTAAGCCAATAAAACAAGAAAATACATTTCACTGATTAGTACAAAGGAAGAAGCAAAATAACGAAATAACCATTTTTCAAATTGGCAGAAATTAAAGGGATTTGTGACATTTAGTGCTGGCTAGGGATATGAAGAACCAAACATCATTGCAGTTGGAGGTTTGAATTTCCATAAATAACCTTATATTTATTTTAACCTTTGACCCATTACCCTGTCTCAGAATTTATTCTACAGAAACATAAGTATCAGTTACATAAATATATGTGTGTTAATGATATTTGTTACTGCATTGTTTATAGTGACAAAAATTTGGAAACAATTTGAGTAAAAGGTAGAAGAAGGTTGACTAAATTGTGGAACACTATTATGTAATAACTTATAATTATTTAAGAAATTATTCATAATGTGTACATAGTGACTTGAAAGATATTCAAAATCTATTGTTATTTTTTAAAAATATGTAGAGCTCACTTTTTATTTAGAAAAAGATATCTTATTGTATGAGCTTTAAATGATGAGAAGGAAATATGGTAAAATTTTGGTATTGCCTAATTCAGAAATATGGTCTTAGACTGGGTATTAGAAGAAACCAGTGTCCTCTTTTTCTTTACTTTCTAATTCTCTTTCATGTTTGACTTAGGATAAGCAAGCTTAACTTCGGTCTTTAAAATAACCAGTAATAGAATATGTTTGCAGTTTTTTATAACTGTGTGTTCTCTTTAATACATGGTTATTATAAAACTGTCTACTCATACTAATGCATTTTGTTTCACTTTAGCAATGTCTGACCGTCAAGAGAGTGCTCTTATAGAGCTAATGGTTTGTACAATTCGTCAAGCTGCTGAGGCACATCCTCCAGTGGGAAGGGGTACTGGCAAGAGAGTAAGTTAAATTAGTGAGAAATCTACCAAAAGACTTTTAATGTAATTAACTGTCTTAAATATTTGAAAATTTTGATGGTATATGTATGCATAAAAACATGGAATTTCTGTAAAGGATACATGCTGTGGTGCTTTGTCATTATATACTGTCTACTGCACTTAGGTTTCAAAAATAGATTCTTTTCTTCCATGTTTCCAAAGCACCTGTACCTGCTTCTGTTCTAGTACTTTAATAATTTTCACATTCATATCTGTTAAAAATGCAGAAAGGCTCTGAAAGCAAACTGCCTAACTCTACTCTTCCATTTAGCAACTATTTAATCTTCAGATAGTTGATTATTTTCTTTGTGTGTTAATTCTCTTATTTGTAATATGGGGCTAATAATGCAAGTTTTATTGGTTATAAAGATGAATTGAGATAGTCATTGATGGAAAGACCAGCTCTGGTGGTGTGCAGAGGTAGGTAATTTCTCTCTACAAAAAAAGAAAAAATGAAACTGCAAAATTTGTTAAAAAAAACTTATCAAAGAGCTCTGGAAGTTCACCAGAGATAAAAAAACAAATTGAAGGATTTGTTTTTGAAAAACTGCTAAAGCTTCAGGTAAAAGCAACAGGAGTCTGCTGCCTTCTTGCCTGGGATTATGATGCACACACACCCATCCACAAAGTTGATGTCGTGTTACCAGAGTGGTACTGTCTGCAAAAAACAGCAGCTTTGCTCGCAGAGGGGGCAGACTCAATATGGTACAAATGGCAAAAGTCCAGAGCTTTGTGAACTAAAAATGGCAAACATGGTAGAAACAAACAAGGAAAACCCACAGCTGTGATATTCAGAGGTTGTGGTCCCAGATGGGAAGAACAGTGGACCAGCCAAGAATCTAAAAAATCCTGGAAATGAAAAAGCCATAAAAGGATGAGATGAGCTCTCCATACATCACTGGCTGACTGAGAACCTGAGAAAACCCAATGGAAAATAAAAGTCAAAGCAAACTTAGGTATTAGCTGGACTTTTTTTTTTTATTAAGTTTTTTATTTTAATTCCAGTACAGTTAAAATACAGTGTTATATTAGTTTCATATGTACAATATAGTGATTCAGGAATTCTGTACATTACTCAGTGCTCATGATGATAAGTGTACTCTTTAATCCCCAGATGCCCCACCCACCTCCCCTCCGGTAACCATCAGTTCCTTCTCTATAGTTAAGAGTTTGTTTCTTGGTTTGTGTGTGTCTCTTTTTATTTTCCTTTGCTCGTTTGTTTTGTTTCTTAAATTCTACCTATGAGTAGGATCATATGCTATTTATCTTTGTCTTGACTTATTTCACTTAGCATTATACTCTCTGGCTCCATGCATGTCATTGCAAATGGCAAGATTTCATTCCTTTTTATGGCTGCATAATATTCCATTGTGTATGTGTACAGTATCTTCTTTATCAATTCATCTACCAGTGGACATTGGGCTGCTTCCATAATTTGACTATTTTAATAATGCTCCAATAAACATAGAGTTGCATGTATCCCTTTCAGTTTGTGTTTTTGTGTTTTTTGCATTTTACCCAGTATTGCAATTACTAGATTGTGGAACAGTTCTATTTTTAACTTTTTGAGGAATGTCCATACTGTTTGCCACAGTGGCTGCACCAGTTTGCATTCCTACCAACAGTGCATGAGTGTTCCTTTTTCTCCACATCCTCGCCAACACTTGTTGTTTCTTGAAGAAGTGGCTGATCTTTGAATATACTTTCTAACCCAGGTCTCAGAGGGGAGAAGCCTTATTTGTTGGAAGTATTTAAGCACCAACTCTGCCCAAATCATTGATTGACCAGGAATCTATTGAAATAACTGAAAACTCTTAGGAAACAAACAGGCTTTAAAACAAAAATAATGAAAATTCTAAGCAGAGGCCACATACATCATGGGAGAGACAGATTATATATACATTTCAGGTTTAAGATTACTTTTTTAAGTAATGAAACTCAGAAAAATCAGTTAAAAATCCATAATTGCTTCACCGTATTACCTAAAAATGTTGACTCTTCCAGAAAAATTACAGCCATGCAAAGAAACAGTAAAATGTGACCATACTCTGGGTGAAAAAAGCAGACGATAGAAATGGCTTTTCAATAGGCCTAATTATTGGATTTAGCAAATACTTCAGAAAATATGTTGAAAGAATTAAAGGAAAATATGTTCAAAGGATTACAGGAAAATATAACAAATAAGGAATCTTAATAATGAAAAAACTTAATGGAAATTCTAGAGTTGAAAAGTACAATGACATTTCACATTCATTATTTGGGTTTAACAGCACATTTGAGATGACAAGAAACATCCTACATGAACCTAGATTAATAAAAATCATTCTGAAGAACAGAGAGTAAAGAAGACTGAAGAAAAATGAACAGAGCCTGAGAAATACGTGAAACACTATTAAGTGCATCAAATTTGTATAATGAGAGTTCCAGAAGGAAAGGAGAGAAAGAGGAAAGAAAAACACTTGAAGAAATAATTGCCAGAAACTTCCCAAATTTGGTGAAAAACATAATCCACAGAAAAAGAAGCTTCACAAAACTCAAGTAGTGTAAACACAAAAGATTCATCTCTGGACAGGATAGTCACTGTTGAAAGCCAAAGACGAAAACATCTTGAAAGCAGCAAGAGGAAAAACATGTCATGTAGAGGGCAATTGTAATAAGATTACTAATTAATTTTTTATAAAACAGTAGAGGCCAGAAGACTGACAGAATGAAATATTCACTGAAAGAAAAGAAAATTGCCAACCAAGAATTCTAAATCCAGTAAAATTACCTTTCAATTATGAAGGTGAATTAAAAACATCCCCAGATAAACAAGAATTTAGAGATATGTTGCTGGAAGACCTGCCTCAGAAGAAATACTGAAAGAAGTCCTTTAAGCTATAAAGAGTAATACTGGATGTTAATTCTAATTCATAGGAAAGAATGAAGAGCACCAGAAATAGTAACTATGTGGGTGGCTATAAAAGGCCATGTATATTAATATATCTCTTTTTCCTCTTCTTTAAAGGGACATAAGATTAATAAAAGCAATAATTATAGCACTAAAGCATTAAGATTATAAGATATGCAGATATATGTTACAGCAATAACATATATAATAACACACATAATAAAATAAGGGTAAAGGAAATGGAATTATATCGGAGCAAAATTGTTGTATTTTGCTGTAACTCAATATTAATCTAAAGTTGATTATAGTAAACTAAAGAAGTATATTATAATCCCTAGAGCAACTACTGATACCTAAAGAAAATGAAAGCAAAATCAACAAATAAATTATAATAGTATACTAAAAAATGTTTAACTCCAAAAAACATAATAAAGAAGGAATGCACAAAAAAAGATGAGATGTATAGATAACAAAATGGCTGACATAAATGCAACCATATCAAAGCTTACATTAAATATGAATGTACAGAAATCCAAAAAATAAAAATAGAAAAAACTATGGACTGGCTATGGAAAGATAGTAAGGAGTTATTGTTTAATTTTGTTGGAGATGGCAAGTTTTATTCTTAAGTCTTCATCTGTTAAAAACATACAGTGAAATATTTATGGGTGAAGTGAAATGATATACCAAGAATTTGCCTTAAAATGCTACAGGAAATTAAAGTCTTTAGGAAATTAATGAAGTAATAGTGACAGAATGAGTACTTTTCAAATTTTTCCAAAATAAAAGTTTTAAAAACTTTATGTGTTGTTCCAACTTTGAGCCCTTTCAGGCTAAACATTTCTTACCCTTTTGACTTGTGTTAATCATTTTTTAAGCACCTTCTTGCTTTCTCAACAAGTTCACTTTCTACCTTTACTGTTTATATTAGTTTTCTATTGCTATGTAAAAAAATTACTTTAAAACTTAGAGACTTAAAACAATAAGGCTTTATAGTCTCATACAGTTTCTGTGGGTCAGAAACTTGGGAGTGCCTTAGCTGTTCTTATGGCTTAAGGTTTCTTATAGGTTTGCATTTAAGATGTTAGGGCTTTAGCCTCTGAAGATTTTATTGTTATTTTACTGCTTCTATAAATGGCTTAACTTACATGACTGGCGAGTTAGTGTTGATTGTTAGTGGGAGGCTTTAGATCCTCACCATGTGGACATCTCAGTAGGACTGTTTGAGTGCTTTCAGGACATGGTTGCTACCCCCTCCCCCTGCTCCCAGAGTGAATGATCAAAGTGAGAATAAAACAGAATGAATGAACCAAAGGAAAGTAAGGTAGACTTCTGTGTCTTTTATGATCTAGTTGTCAAAAGTCACACAACATCATTTCCACAATCTCCTATTGATTACACATGTCAGCCTTAGTCACTGTGGGAAGAGACTACAAGGGCATGAATACCAGGAAGGAGTTACTGGGTGTCACTTGACGGCTGATTCTTACATTACCCTAGCATAGGAATCTCCAAGAAACCCTGGTTCCTTTTAATAGAGTAGTATTTAAAGTTAAAATCTTGTACCTAAGAGTACTCACTGTCAATTGATTATTATTTCTGATAGGCATTTTGAGTATACAGAGCTAAAAATATATATATATATATAT